TAACCTAACCTAACCTAACCTAACCTATATAATTCTGTTCTCTACAATTCATCATTTTTCCAGGTTTATGGTATAATATGGGATATGGTAAAATCTTACACAGATGTTCAGAAACAACGTTTTGAGATTAGACTAGCAAAACCTTTAGCCAAAATAACATTTTAGATTCTTAAAACGCATCAGGATCAAGTTCTGAGAGAATTTCAACGCAAACCATAATATTCTCACCCCAATAATGCTCAGGCCTTGCAGATAGTCTTGTCGGGGCTGGGCTTGTGGAACACATCCAGCTAGGACAACTTTCTTTTTTCCTTCTTGTGCTTTCCTAAAATGAACAAATAATCATTCAGTGGCAGAACACATTCGTTTAATTAACATTCACTAACTTTGCATCACTTCTGTCACAGTATGAAAAGATTGGAAAAACCAAGAACGCTGCCTAATTGTGTCATTCTGCCAGCAAACAGATTCTTAATTGCACTTCTATCCCACACACGTCCTTCAAATCTTCCCTGAAGGGTTGGAGGATTCTCCAGAGTTGATTTGGGATACAGGTGAGGATTGGGGTGAGGGGAGTGACAATAACAGCACAGACTGTTGCACTTGTAAAAGTCCGTTTGCATAATATTAAATCCAAGTCAAAACTTCATCTGGTGTGATATGAATTTCCACATATAAAATTATTCATATGCATCCCACAGGGAGGGAAATAACTTTTTAGTGCTTTATTTTCTGGCTGTCGTGAAGATGAAGAAAACAACCTAACATATTCATCTCTTTATGAATTGCTCCATAATCCTTAAAGCATTTGATTCCAGGTATTGATATCAGGCCGCTTTACAGCTCACTAGATCCTCTTTTCTGAAGATAAGACCATTTGCTCTCCCCTAAACGATCCAGCACGTTAACAATTATTCAGGATTCTATAAGGTAATTAGTTCCTTCAGCACTTTGGAATGCAAATCAATTGGTCCTAGGTATTTAACTTATTCAAGGTAAAGATGTCCTCTCTGACTTAGATTTTTATCAGTTTCAAGCTTTTAGCCTTTAAGAACCCTCAAAATGCAATGTGCACCCCTCTTGCATGAGCCCCCAGCATGTACAGCCCCCTGCACATGCGCACATCCCATGCATGCGCACACAACCCCTGCACATTTCCCACCCACCCCATGCATCTGTGCGTGACCCACCACCACCACGCGCCCCGTGACCTGTCAAAACCATGGTCCACAAAAGCGCGCTCGACAAAAGCGCGCATTTGACGTTATCACAGCGCGACGAAAAAAATTANGTGGCCTGCAGTACTGCACCCTAACCACTGCGCCACCTCGGCTCTATAAAGCGATAGATATCATGTATAATTCAATCCCCTCCCCTTGGCACCCCAGTTCATAGTCCAATAATATTTCACCCAACCGTCAGATGGGAGATGTCCCCAAAAAACATCATCAGGCTGGAATGCTGGACAGTCGGCCTTGGTGGGAAACTCCCTTCTTCCACATGAGCAGAGAGATGGTCAGGACAGCTCCTAATAACAATCCTCTAGTACATACCAGTTCTGTGGATTGATGGGCACGGGAGCGGAAGGGTACTGCAAAATCTCCATTCCCACCCCACTCCTGGGGCCAGCCCGAAGGTGGTATTTGCCGGTTTTCCTAACTACTCAAAATTCCCGCTACCGGTTCTCCAGAACCTGTCAGAACCTGCTGGATTTCACCCCTGGAGGTGGGGGGGGGAGGCAAATACAATAAACCTTTGTTTTTCTCAAGGAATGGTTTACCATGAACAGATTGATTAGAACAGAGCTTCAGGAATCAAAGACATAAGCTTTGAGTATCAGCAGGGGGGGTCACTTAATAAGGTTAGAGATTAGCTGTAGGGAAATCACATGAGTTTTCTCCTGAGCTAATCTTCTGAAGGAAACGGTGGTTTAAGAAACAGCTCTCACAATGCTTTATTAGGCTCCTTTATATGTGGAGGCTGCCCCTCTTCTTGGTGTCTCTTCAGATTTATATATTTGTATAACTCTTGCAGAGAACTGCTGCGTGTCTTCGACATGACAGATCTCAGTGTGTCCCAGCACTAAAAGGCTCTTCTGCTTCCCAAGGCTCAATATAAAGTTATTTTCTGCTGTGCCCACAATTGTACTTTTGGTTGCATAATCAAGTGCTAAAGCCTCGAGTTCACACATTCAGCTGTGTACCACCAACTGTTGAGTAATCAAGTAATGATCCCTACAGGAATGAATGGGGGAGCGTGAATCACGCACTAAGTCATTTTAATGAAGGTTTCCTCGCCTAATAGTTCACTGCAATATTGAACTGCAGCATTAGGAGATGCTTCTTCAGCCAAATCTACCTCCTCATTTTGTCAAGCCTTACAAGCCAAACTATGGCCTTTCCCGTCAACCCAGAAGATACCCTTTAGCTGAATAAAGCTTGACAGTTTGATTAATCTGACGTGGTATTTAATCTGCTTTTCTATTAGCCTTCTTACTGGGAATCTCCGTCTCCTCCTCCCCTTTCTTTGGACTGTTTACAAAAAAAGCTAAATTGGGATTTTTCCTTCCTGAAAGATTTAATAACAGCAAAGCAATCAACTGCAAAGGGAGGAGGTTCTGACAAGCTTGACTTGATTGCTATCCTAGGAGAAGGTTTGCTCCGCAGGGATTTTGAAAAAGAATAGAGCAGTGTTTCTCGGTTCCACCACAAAACCGCGGTAGACAAAAGCGCGGTCGACGAAAGCGCGTATGTGACGTCATCACAGCGCGAC